TATCTGTTTATGAGTGTTTTGAGGGGTTCTATAGGGAAAGGAGGAGGTTCAGAAAGTATAAAGACAAGGTTCCGGATCAAGAAGAACTTATCCTGGTAGGCATTATCTCGGGGGAGCAAGGGGTTCTCCCTTGATCATGCTATTCGGCGGTGCAAGTTGACTCAGATTGGTTGGATACCTCCTCCTTGGGACGGATTTGAGATCAGTTAAGCCGATCCCCTTCTTGTATGGTGATCTCTTTCCTTTTATTCTAGCATTCTTCTTCTTTTTTTATTCCATTCGGTGCGCCAGAGAAGCAGGTGGGTTGATGATTCTTGCGTGTTCGGGAAAGCTTGCCAACTGTTTGGGAATAATACGCGGGAGTGGTTCGGCCGAGCTAGCGTGGCGTGAGTCAGTGTCCAGGACAGTTCAGTGTCCATATGTCGAGTCTTTTTGGTAAAATTGGTCCCAACAATTGTATGATAAAATTAATTAATTTATTTTATTGTTATAAGAATAATTTCTAAATTTTAATTAATTTCGTTTTATTAAGAAAATTTCTAAATTTTAAGTTAGTTATTAATAATAAAAAATTAAAAAATAGATCTTATTTTTTTATTAATAATAAAAAGTAAATTAACATATAAATAAATTATGAACAAAAAAATCATATATATTGAACAAGATAATTAACTGTATTTAAGATCATAATTAAACAGTTTAAAAATTTTAATTAGGAAAAATAATTAAAATATAAACTGCTTACTTAAAATATATTAGTTATGTTCCGTGTTGATGTTTTAGGCCAATAAGAGCATCCACATAGAACGTAGAAACTCAATCTAATTGGTCTATATCAACATTTTTTTTAAACTTAAAAAATATTAAATATAATTAATAATTTGAATAAACTAAAACATGCAGAAATATAAAATTCCCATAGTAGAATAGAAAATTATGATAAAAAAAAAGTTTAACTAACAAAACAGATTAAATAAAATTGTGTCAAAAATCCAAATCCATAATGTTTGTCAAAATAAAATGAAAGCTCATTGTCAGAAAAGTGGTAAAATGACAAAAATATATATGTCAATAAATAACAAAAAAATTTAAATTAAAACAAAATTTTAACATATATATTTTAAATGAGTAATTTATTTTAAAAATAATATTAAGATTAAATTGTAATATAAACATATAAAATTGCTCTTTAAAGCTATCAATACTACCAAAAAAAAATTCATGTTAAATTAACAAAAAATATTTATCTAAAACTTGATATTTAACCTAATTGTTTAGAAAATTAACACAAAAACTTAACTAACAAAAAATAATACTTTATGCTAATTACTGAAGAAAGCAACATAAAAAAAAAGTTTAACTAACAAAAAAACAAAACATAAACTATTTCTTGCAACATGTCAATACAATTATAATAAAATTCCATATCAAAAAGTTAAGTTAATATAAAAATTAATATAAAAATAAATTTAACAAAGAAAAAATATATATGTGAAATAGATTAAATTGATATATATATATGCTACCTATTTGGAGAATTAATAACAAAAAAAATATTTTAAAAATATATATGTTTTAATTATATTAAACATGCATAAAATTAGATAACTAAAATAAAATATAAAATTACCATTGAAAGATATGTAAAATAAATAAAAAACAAGATCTAAGAAGAGAATTAGTTTGAAATTTAGTTTTAGAAAATTCATGATTTTTAAAATATTGATATTGACTATGAATAACCATATAAAGTTACAGTAGGTTATTCAAGTTTTTAAATCGAACATATAATTTAAATTTACAAAGACTAATAGCTTGGATGCTTCTGGTTTAAAAAATAACAAAGAAAAATAATACATAAGTAACTTTACATTCAAAATATAACAAGTAATAAAGTCTGATTTTTATACATAATTACTATAACTTAGCCAACATGAATAGCACATGAGTAACACCTTCTAAAATTTTATTTAAATAATAAAATATGACAAAGTTATGAATCAAATTCAAGTTGGAATACATCTAAATAAACTATTCAAATCAAAAATATGAATAAAACACACAAAATATAAAAACAATGATAATGTGAAGACTCCACACCATCTTACATGTTTTAAAACAAAAATTATCAAATAGTTGACTGAATATAAAAGAGATCTTATAATCTGTATAGAAATATTACCTAAATTTTGTAGAAGATCTGGAGGAGAAACAAGAAGCAGCTTTACACGATTGTTGTAGTATCCTAACAAAAGTAAATCAGAATCAACATGAATCATATATTATATATGCATGGATACACAAAATCAGTGAGACATTTAGTAAAAAACTAAATATTTAAACATATAAACTTAAAAAAGAAGAACTATAAAAATTCCAAGGACACAAAACAAAACACCAAAAATTTAGTAAGTAAATCATTCTTTAAATCAAACGTATGCACGTCGAAGTTGGATAATTCGTAAAGTGTCATTACTATAATTATTCTTAATAAAATTATTATTTTTATAAATAAGAAAAATAAGAAAAACTACATATTATTTTAATTTTTTATATATTAAAGAAAATTTCTATAAATATATTATAGTTTTGATAACTTAAAAGATATTAGCCAAAAAATATTAACAGATCTATGATGTGGGTTTATTTCATGGTAAAGTGGTGCTAACGTTGAGATTTGTTGCAGTAGATCGAGGTAGAAGACGAGCATGTATGGATAGACAAAGCGGAATATATGATTTGATATAGTTTACGTGGATGGACTTATAAGGATATGAGATAATGGACAATTTATAATTGTTAACAGATGTGGATCCACATGTGCTAAATATTGTGTGTTATCAATCGTGGATGATCGATCCGACAAATTGAGGTAGACAAGCATGAGCAAGTTGAATCTGCTAGACGGTAGATATTAGTTTGATGGACATCATCCATTATAACAATTCCAGGTAGATATCCAAGTGTGGATGAGTGTTCGTGGACATCAACATATAATAGCCTACCATGAGTACTAATGCATTTACAATGCATCGTTTATTCATCATTATATGTTCATCCATAGTAGCATGTCCATAAAGAGTCATCCAATGAAATATATATGGTTCCCACCTGAAAATAAGTTTAGATGAACGTTTAGATTTGATATGTATTATATTGGTATATATGGTAATTCATGGATATCATATCGTGGATAGTCCTAATGGAGGAGTAATTGAGAAAAGTAATTGTGGTATCTCGACTGTTCCATATGTGAGTATCCACTTGTACAGGCATCATATATGTCTAATAGTAAGCTCATCTTCGACATGTCTAAAACTAAACTTGAAAATAACAATTTAAATTTGGATATAGTGATGTGGAATGATACGTGTAGATGATGGTAATGGATGTCTATTCATAATTGGATGTTTGGAAGGAATGAAAAGTCAATGGATAAGCAAAACTAGATGTAAGTAAGTGGATGAGTTATGATTTGCGTCCATAAAGCAGTAGTAGTGTAGTATTACAGAGTTTTCTATGAATATAGGTATGTAGTAATCCATGAATATCCGTCCATCGACGGTTTTGAATATTTTGATAGATGTTAGAATTTTTCAACTAATCCACATGTAGTTGCCCATGAGTATTGTGTGGATGGCGTTGTGTATGTTGTTAAGCTTTGATGATTTTTTGAAATTGATATTTGGCGAGAGAGAGAGAGAGAGAGAGAGAGAGAGAGACTTCAAGAATATAATGGACTTTTTCATGTTGAAGAAAATATATTTTCTTGATCTTATACTTTAACAAAGTACTCTTTTCGTAATTATCTCTCATACCAAAAGATTGATCATTAATTATAACTGAGTAAGTGATAGAAGTAACACAGAACATAACTCATTCCACCCATTAAGGATGAAATCCCATCACTTGAAATAAAGCTCTTAGGTATTCCCACTCCACCCTATCAGCCATGAACTCTTTTGTCTAAATTGTCTAAATTAATTATTGGTATTTACGTTAGTTTATCCAGAAATAGTCACGCTAATTTCATATGTTATCTAATACTAACCTAATGTCTATTAAGAATAAAACGATTTTTTTAATAAAAAAAAAGAATAAAACGATTTTAAACCATTCGTTTGTTAAAACTTTTTTAACGTGGCGTTATTAAAGCATGTAAGTTTGATCAACATTACTATTTGCGTAAATCATTGTTTATTTTCAATTTCATAAGTATGATTGAAGTGCAAACCTATTTATCATTTCGAATTAGCGCTATTTTATAGAAATAATAGAATCTGTATGAATCAGTTTAATCATCGCTATTTATTTTCAACTTGTTTAATTAAGAGAAGTTGCAATTTCAAGTAAACATTAATTGAAAATGTTAGATACCATCCTTAGTTGGCAAGTGTTTTAATAGAATCTGTGTGAATCAGTTTTGTCTACCAAATCATATCATAAGTTTCGGATTTATTCATCTGTTAACTTTGTTTTTTATTTGTTTTTTTATGACTTACGGATTTGATGAACTAGCTAGAAAGATGCTTTTTTCTCTCTGTCGAACCAACAACCATCGAAGTAAATTGCAATTTCCACAAATTTATCGACTCACACCACTCAGTGGATGTTGTATTTTATTTATTTTTTATCCATTTTTCTTTTCGTTTGTTGCAAGAAGTTTAGCGCCTAGCTTTCATTTTTAATTAGTTGGAGAACTACAAATTATTCACACAAATCCTTGTTGAATCGGATCAGAATATATACGATAAGTTGATTCGCTGTTTCGGCATCAGCAACAATTGCTTTTATCTTTATAGTAGTATAGTTGTCTGTTAAGTTTTAACAATTACAATTTTGATTTAATTTAATCTGGTTCCGACATAAGGTATATTAATTTAATCCATGCTTCCCATTCATATATTTGTAGAACATTTACATAATCATAAACAAAACTCTGATAATTACACAGGTTCAAAAAAAAAAAAATAACTTGATTATTACAGCATTTTCCATAATTACAAACAGAACTGAGATTAGTATAAGAATTATTGCTCTTAGTGTTCTCTGTTTTCCATTGAGTATTAACTTTACGAATAAATTCTTCAACTCGTCTTCGAAGCACACACTCTACTTCGCTCTCGTTCTCCTCCAAGCCTTCTGTTTTCTTCATTCTCTCTTTCTTGTCCTTCTCTGAAAAGTCTGAACCGGGTTTCAATCCAGAAGAAATTATCCGCAAACCGGGTTTGTATGTCAGCGATTGCTCAGAACCAGTCGGTTTGGACGAGATAACCGATTTTGATATCAACATGGGTTCTTGCGAACCGGTCTTCGAGGTGAGACTCGGCTCAGGTACCAACACGGATTTCTCAAAACCGAGATCGGAAGACAGAACCGACTCAGATATCAATACGGATTGCTCAAAACCGGGCTTGGAAGAGAGAACCGAGTCAGATAGCAAGACGGATTTCTTGAAACCGGATTTGGAAGTGAGAAGTGACTCAGATATCAAAATGGGTTCCTGCAAACCGGGATTTGATTTGTCTTGGGAATCCGGTTTAGAGTTGCCCATGAGGATCAAGATGATGATGAAGTTGCAGAAGAGGAACATGACTAAAGAACTGGAAGCAGTTTTGTCGACGAACTCCAAAACAGAATCTATCATCATCTTTGCAATAAGAAACAGAGAGTAAAGAGAGAGAGGGAGAGAGAGTAAAGAGAGTAGAGAGAGGGAGAGAGAAGAAAGGTTGATTGTGCGAAAGACACGGCTTTGAGAGATCCTTAAATATAAAAGACGAGACTTCTTAGACAAGTAGATGTTGACAATGACTGCTGGATAAAGTAGTTGAAACCTTTTTGTTTAGTGATAACTTTTTTTTTTGACGGCAAGTTTAATGATAATGTAAACAAGTGATTTTTAGTAATTGGGTTTTAATATACCAAAGAAGAAACTCCTTGCCAGCTAAGTTGTAATAGCTAATAGTCCTCCTAATTAACTCCTAAGTCTTTTCAGAACACATGCATAGTCTTTGTTAATTCAAGTAATCATTGTCACTTTATGTATACTGAAAGCACCTTCAACGATAAGTTCTTGATAAGATATCTAAAAAATAAAAGCATTAAAAATTTTAACAGTGTTAATTCGTATTGTGTTTAACAAAATCCTTTAAAAAATTGTATTCTTAGTACCAAAATAGACAAAGCTCTATAGAACACCTTTTAATGTGGTGTCTAAATGAGATGTTGCCGTTTTGTTGTTCGGACAAAATCATCTTAACAATCCAGATTCGTTAAATCCTTTGTGAACTCAGCAATATATTTTGTTTACAAAGATTTAAAAAGACAGTAACTAGGTAAAATATTTAGAGAAATTATCCAATATATATAAAAAAAATAAGAGAAAATGCTCCAAAATAATTTAAAATAAAAAAATAATATGAAACATGTATTTTATTGAAAGATAATTATGAAAATAATCTATAATTTATAAATTTTTTTAAATATCAGCGCTATCTTTCTAAATATTTTTACTTGTAGCCTAATAACAGAATGAATACAGACTACTAACAGACTAATTGATCTTACAATTGAATGTAGACTATTGACACACTAATGATAGATTAAATACAAATTACTGACAGATTAACGATAGATTAAAAATACATTAGTAGACTTTTTTATAGGTTATTTTAGGTAATATCATATTTCATAATAAAATTGTCAAGTTGATTATTTCAAAAATTATCTCAATAAATGATAATTTTATTATCAAAAACGTTTTGGTGAAAGATTAAGAATTTTGATGATCACGGTCAACCTCTTTTGGTGGTCTTGGTCAATCTTTTTATACTTGCTTCAAGTTATTTTTTTGGTAAAATGTTAAATTTTATACCATTTTAGATTTTTGACAGCATTACAGGGATACAACAAAGAAAGGCAGAAAGACCAAAAACTACAAACAACTGAACGAAAATGACAAAGAACCAACAATAAACAGAGGACGGCTAGGAAACTGTTAGGAAACTAATAAAAAAAATAAAACAACTAAACGAAACCAGACGAAAAAGCAGCAATCAAATGCCTTGCCAGAGCGCAGACCATCCCGTTTATGCCACAGTTCAAAAAGAAACTGGAGTTCTCATCTTCGTTGCCATGAGCATTCTTCTGATGCAAGCCCTCAAACCTCATAGAAAGAGATGCTTACAGCTTCTCTGAGAACTGACGCGATCTCCGATCCCACCAAACAGACCACTTGCAACTGGCGGCACAGGAGCCTGAGCATTTGAAGAAGAGCCTCTGACCACTAATTCCGTGAATGCCAAAACAAACGCAGAAACCAACTCCCACATAAACATGAGATTGTAAAGAGAGAATCGCCACCTCTATTTAACGTCTGACATCGCTCATTTTCACCACCGAACCCTGTCAGAGCCAACCTAACCGAAGCCAAAGACACGACCAAACAAGCTGTTGGATCTAGCCAGGATAACAAGAACACACACCTGCGGGCTGCGGGAAACTAAGGCCACACTGGTGGTGAAGATGTAGCCACACGCCTAAAGCCACCACAAAGAGACACTGCCGATGGAGCCACTCGAGCTGAGATAAGACGTGAGCCACCACTCCGAGGCTAGTCACTAGAAACAAGCCGCAAACACTCATTGACATCGATGGAACCCGTCCTCTAGGAACAAATCGCCATCGCTGGGAGTTTAAGAACTCAGATCTACAAACGCCATCCACTCCGCTGCCTCGAGAGAGAACGAAACAAGAGAGGAACCAAAATCAGAGCAGAAGGCTAAGCCACCAATCCACCACTGAAAGCCGGAGAGCACGCCACGGCACGAGAGGCTCTAAAACGAAAGCTAGAACCGCCGGAAAGAGAAAACGACAGAGAGCAATAAGGAGGAAGAGAGAGCTGACAGAGAGACGAGGCGACGAAGGAGAGAGTGCCGTCTACACGAGAAGACAATCCTCCAACACCGCAAACTCAACAACACCGTTGAGCTCGCGCCGCCTTCAAACGAGAACCAACGTCGAAAAGCTTCACTTGCCGCTGCAACCGAATCGACAATTTGAGAAAGAAAAGCAGAGCAGAGACACAACGTACGGGAGGAGGAGAGGCAGGCGCCGGTGCTGAGAAAGCCACCGGCGCCCCCAACACGATCTGAGTTCGAGTGAAACTGTGGCCGGTGGAGAAAAAAAAGTTCAGAGAAAAGAGAAAGGGCGCGTGAGATGCACGACCTCTCTTGTGAATTTACTTGCGTCGAGTTTTTTATAAACCACACTTTAACTATTACTCTCTCTGTTTCATAATAAGTATCATTTGGAGAAAATGTATCTGCAATGTATCTAGATGTATTAAACTCAAAATACATCTAGATACATCCAATTACAATGCAGATACATTTTCTCCAAATGACACTTATTATGAAACAGAGGAGTATCAAAGTAGAATCTTTTAGAAGAAAAACAAATTCGAAATATGCAACGTAAAAAATATACAAAATGAGTATTACTGTGGGTTCCTATTACAACTACTCATTTACTAATGAATTGGGATATAGTCTAAGAATCAAGAATCTAAAGCCACCATTATTGTTGTAGCTGAACATGATGAGTGCCATGCACGAGACTCGAGAGCGTGAACAAGAACCATTTCTTAGGACAATCTATAGTGAAATGCGTGTCTGCAAAATTAGTAAGATGAAATGTTATATTTTAATTTAAAATGTACACAATTTTCTTATGTGCAAGACATCAGAGGATCATACTATAGTCTCGAGAATAGTCATGAGGGAAACGAATCAAAGTTGTTTCTATGTTCTAATATTTTGTTTGTTCCGTTGTAGTCTTGTAGATTGTAATCTCTAGGTTGTAAGTACGTGCAATTTATATCACTAATATAGTAAAATTTTAGGTTTTTAAAAAGTATGTAAACGTTTTGTTTCTATCTTTTGTTTTAGGCATGGTTTGGCCATCCATCAAAGCTTATTTACAAATCAACTAATTTTCGTTTCATTTTCTATTCCATTTTTGTCTAACTTAAGTCACTTAACTACATTTCAGAAATAAACTAAAATAAATCTAGTAGTATTCATGCAACGAGTGCTAGGTTGAACTGATAACCTCTGAGAACTTGCACCACCTAATAAATAACTCTTCTAGACTTGAGAGTTGAGATTATCCGTCTATCTAACATCTCCTAACATATAACTCATGAAATGGATCATATATTCTATTAACATTTGTGTATTTCTTAATTTTTATTTAACACTCATGTCTCTAAATTCTATATATTTCTTCTTGTTTTTAAGCTCTAGTAACCTTTTCATTTTTTTCCCAGCTTCCGTTAATAATGAATACCTCTTTCTTCATTATGCATGTAATTTTCCTCACTCAACTGAAAACTATTCTAATAATGAAAAAATTCAGGCAGTCTTTATTATATATATAGTTAAGGATTTTGAGAATGTCTTTGAAAATACAAAAGTTTTAACCTCTTTAATTGAATGTAAGAATTTAGTAAAAATGATGTATTTATTCCTTTCACTAATCCGAGTTACTAAACAAACAAAAAACATTCATTGGATATGGATTCGAATTTAGATATCAAACTACTGAGTTTAACATATATAAATCTACCAATTGTGAAAGAGAAATTCTTCTACTAATAATGTTATTCCTTTATGGTATACGAAGAATCAAAAGCCAAAAATGGCGCGCTTCTGCTCAAGCTCTCTGGATGTTCTTCCCGATAAGTTCAAGTGCTTTGGGGTTATTATATACAATACCATAATACAAAATATCACTAAAAAAACAGCATAAAAAAAGCCAAATTCGAAAAACATAATATAAACCATAATCAAAGAAAGCAAAACCAACAGATTCAATTCACAACCCAAAGTGAATCAACCCATTTAGACGTCGCTGACATGAGCACTCGCCGCTTCCATCAAACCGTTGCGTATCTGGTCGCTGATGTCCCTCACGTGACCCGGACCGTGCGGGAGAAACACGGTCGTGTTCTTCGACGAGTTCCCAAGGTCCCTCATGGTGTCGAAGTACTGTGTGATCATGATCAAGTCCATCACTTCTTTAGCCGATGTGCCTTCTACTTTGCTAGAGAAGTTCATTATGTTCTCTCTCAATCCGTCCGTAATCGCTTGCCTCTGTCTAGCCACACCGACACCGCCTAAGTACTTTGATTCCGCCTCTGCTTCCGCTCTCTTCACTTGGAGAATCTTCTCTGCTTCTCCTTTGTACACACTCGCGAGCTGGAGCCTTTGTGCTGCGTTTTAAGAGAAATGAAAGTTATCAAAGTGTGAATTTAACTTCCTATGAGGTGATGTAAGCAAGTAACCAATCAAAATGGAACCTATATAAAAGGATTCTAATTGTGTTAAACCAGTCTATGCTTCGACGTATAGGAGGCATAAGAGTAACGGATAATAAAGTTCACCTGCATTGATTTCGTTCATCGCCTTGCGTACAGAAGGATCCGGAAGAATATCAACCATTAGAATGTGTTCAATGCTGTATCCATAAGCCCCCATCACCTGAAGTAACAATTACAATCATATGAGCATTTCAGAACTCGCCACAAGTCCTGAACGTTATGTAACTCTTCTCTATGCAATCAAAACGTATCTACTTGATTCAAACAGAACAAAGGACAAAATCAGAGATAATGAAGGAGGAGCAACATGGTGTTATGTTACCTTCTCGAGTTCCTCAAGAACAGACTTGGCAACTTCTCCCTTTTGTTCAAAAAGAGCGTCTAGCGTCATCATTGGCACCAAAGCTCTGACCACTTCGATTTTGGGAACAAACATGTAACATTAGAAGAAATCAAGAATCAAAAGAGAGGTTATTCGAAAGAAAGAAGCAAAGAAAAGTTACCATCAAAAACATAGGCTTGGATCTGCTCTCTTGGGTTTTGTAGCTCATAGAACGCATCATCAGCACTAGCTTTCACTACACGATACTGAATCGAGCAAACCAGCTGCACAAATACATTATCCTGCAACCAAAATAAGAGATCCACAAAACGCTATTTACATCCATTTTAAAGCATAGTAGCCAAATGTATAAATAGTTATGGAAATTTTCGATTAAAAACCTCAAAGGATCAATCACTACTCCTTACAAGACTAAATTCGAAATTGAAATTTATAATCCTCTGCGAAATCAAAAAACGGAAACAGAACAAGGCAAGAGAGACGAGATTAGTGATCGGGTGGATGAAAATCAAATCAAACCTTAGTTTTGGTCTCGATTTTGACATCGAGAGAGTTGATCCTGGTGGAGAGGACTCCGGCGAGCCACTGACCGGCGAGAGGGTTGAAGAAATGACATCCAGGCTCCGCTATATGCTCGAATCGGCCCCAACGTTCGACTACACCGACGCTCGCTTGATCAATACAACCTCCCAGGATGCAGTACGTATTCCCCATTTCCTACGCGGTTACTACAAGGTTTCGAGAGGAAGAAGAAGAAGAAGAGAGACGAACTTTCAACTCGAGACCGATTCTCGTTTATACGATTCGCTTCTTTGTGAACAAAATTGGTGTTTGTATGATGGGATCGGGTCCATTGTTGTTATGGAGGATCAAAGCTTTTTTGCGCTGTCCGATCAAGCGGTTGCATAAAAGTGGACGGCTAAGATCACTGAGTGATTATCAGCTATACAATGTCCACGTCACCAATATTATTTTCTTTCTCAATAGATATTTTGATTATTTATCATTTTGAAATCGCGCAGATTTTTTATTATTATTTAAATTAATCATTTTAATTTTAAATATAATATTTAATTTTTAATATTGTTTTGATGTTGTTATATATTAAAAAAAATTTAACATATCTAAAAAATATATTATAATTTAATTTAAAAATTTACTAATTTGATATAAATAAAAATTAATTATTAATATAAAATTTAATATATGTATATAAATTCATTGTTGTACACCAACTTTTAAAATATTATAAAGATTATTATTATTTTAATTAAATTTGATATATAATTGAACTTAACAACTATATATTTTTTTTATTTAATATAAAAACAATTTTTTATTTTTTATTTTAAATAAAAAATATTTTATCAAATATATTAATATACCTAAAACATCTGATTATATTTCATTAGTAGTCTCAAATACAAAACAACAATCAATATTCCAAACTCTTACAAATCTGTAAAATAATCATTTTCATATATATAGAAACAACATTCACATAGTATACAAAATCAATATCATATTGATAAACTGCAATTTTGATTTGGTCTCTAAACCATCTATAAACTATAGAAGTGTAGATAAACAAAGCAAGTAAAACATATACAAATACAATTTCATACTAACCCATTCTTTTAAATAAAGTATGTTGAGTTTCTAAAAACTCAAAAGGTTTAAAAGGTTCATTTGCATTTGGCTTGTGTGAAAACTCAAATTCGGTCTATAGAAGAATGAGAGTTTGTGGGTTTAAAGAGAGATCTTTATTAAGTTTCAGCCAGAGCTCGAGAGATACACGGTCGTTTAGGTCGTCGGAATAAGAACGCCGACCTAAACTGTTTATGGAAATAAAATCAAGAACTAGGAACAATAAGATTACTTAGTTTGCCCTAGGTCTCGAGAGACGATTTTTGGATGATTATCCAGAAACAGCTGAACCTTGAGAAAGGCTGCCTACGTACCCTTTTGAAGGGATCAAGCCAATCGTAGTTCATAATAAAGGAGTTAGATAGATGAAATCTAGAGAGAATAAGGTCTTCTCCAAGTGTGGAGATTCTTGGATGATTATCTGATGTTCTGAGAAGTGAATAACTTCTTTATTTATAGCCCGACAAGGTCGGTCTTCTGAAGATACCTTCTCCTGTTGAAATAGGAAAACTTCCTTCTTGATAAGGCCGACCTTGCGTTTTCTCCGGAACTTGATCAGATAAATAGAAGATTTTCATTTATCTTGCCGACCTAAATATTCTTTAGGGTTTTGGAATGAGCCTATCTCAATTGATGTAGGGATTTGAGGGGGTACGAAATCCATCTCTAACAGTTAGTCCCCCCCCAGTTCGGCAAGCGAATGGGTATTGAGCTTGGTGAATTAGAAGAGACAGTTCGGCATGAATTGAGATCGGACCATTCCAAGAGTTAGAAAAAATGAAGCATCACTTCTCTGAGATTTCAGGTCGGCCATTTGATGGCGTCTAGTTTTCAAGATTGGTGCGTAGAGTGAAGTTTGCCGAGCTGAAGCAAAGTATACCGAGCTAAGGAACTCGGCTTGATATATACTCGGGTGAAGTTATACTCGGGTGAAGTTTGCGAGACTATGCTCGGCTCAATCTATGATATAATTGCGAGGTGTGCTTGACTTTTGTTAGAGTCGAATACTAACGTGCAATGCGATATCGGCTTTAAATTGTTCGTATGACTTAATATTTCTAAGTCTGAATGTAAACCAGCGAGATGAGGTCGGTTTTATTTGTTTACATGACTTAGAAATTTTCCAAAAGTCGAATGCAAGGTGCGATCAGGTCGGCTTAATAGTTTTGCATGACTTAGGAATGCGGAACAGGTTCCGACTTAATGGAAGTGTGAATACAAACGTGCGAGAGGCTCGACTTACATTTGTTTGTACCACTTAATTTCTAAGTGTGAATACTAATATGCGAATCAGGTTGGCGTTTTTCTATTAGTACCACTTAGTAATATCCAGATCGAATATAAAGTGCGAGACTGGCTCGGCTTACTACTATTATATGACTTGGACTTTGTGAAATAGATCAGCTTATATGCAGGTTGACTGTAGCGTTTGTACGCATGCAAGACGGGTCTTGGCTTTTTAGTTTGCCGAGCTAAGTGGATCAGACTTAGCTATAGGCGTATCAAACGTTTGGCCAGAACGTCGATGTGTAGACAGTTGGTAGATGAGTTGTCGAACAGTGTCCATAGGTCGGCTTGAATTGCGATCAGATGTTAGATCGACGTATTTTGACCATGTGAGGTCGGCTCGGATTGCGGTCAGATGTTAGATCGGCTTTATTTGCGACCATGTGAGATCGGCTTGGAAAAGCAAAGTAGATCGTTGCTGAAACGGAAGAGCTGATAGGCCGATCTGATAATGAATGAGCTGATAGGCCGACCTGATAATGGATGAGCTGATAGGCCGATCTGATAATGAATGAGCTGATAGGCCGACATGATAATAGAAGAGCTGATATGCCGACCTGATAATAGAAGAGCTGATAGGCCGACCTGATAATATATGAGCTGATAGGCCGACCTGATAATAGATGAGTTGATAGGCCGATCTGATAACGGATGAGCTGATAGGCCGACCTGATAATGGAAGAGCTGATAGGCCGACCTGATAACGGATGAGCTGATATGTGAGAACGATGAGCTGGAAGATCGACGATCAGACGAGCTGAGATTGAAGACCGACGACCTCAGATGTAAAATCGACGACCTAATGACCTGGGAAGCTGAGGTTGAAGAACGACGACCTCAGATGTGAGATCGATGACCTGCGAGCTGTGAAGCTTAGATTGAAGAACGACGATCTCAGATGTGAGATCAACGACCTGACGAGCTGTGAAGCTGAGATTGAAGACCGACGACCTCAAATGTGAGATCGACGACCTGACAAGCTGAGATTGAAGACTGACGACCTCAGATGTGAGATCGACGACTTGGCGAGCTATGAATCAGAGATTAAAGACCGACGACCTCATATGTGAGATCGACGACCTGACGAGCTGTGAAGCTGAGATTGAAGACCGACGACCTCAAATGTGAGATCGATGACCTGACAAGCTGAGATTGAAGACTGACGACCTCATATGTGAGATCGACGACCTGGCGAGCTACTTAAACTAACGAATTGTTTAAGCAGACGAGCTGTTGGGAGAGCTCATCTAATGGAGAGCTGAGCACGGGCGAATCCAAGAAGACGATCTGAAGGGATCTTAAAGCCACAGTCTGATTTAAATATGACAGTATGAAGCAAGTTGATGACCCCGATCCGATTGCAAGATGCAGAGCCCGATCTGATTGCAAGATGCAGAGCCCGATCTGGTTTCAAGATGGAGACATCGATCTGAAGCGAGCGTTTTCAAGTGGACGAGCTGAAGCACCTATCTTGAAAAAGATGAGCTTAAACGAATGTTTTGAAGGAGACGAACTGAAGTCAATGTTTTTTCAAGGATGATTTGTGTCATTGAAGTCTTTTCAGGGACGAGCTGCGAGGGCACTGAGCTGCGAGGGCGACAAGCTGCGAGAGAAACGAGCTGCAAGGGCGACGAGCTGCGAGAGAAACGAGCTGCGATGAAGACAGGCTGCAAGGGCAACGAGCTGCGGTGTTATCTTCGGTGAGACCGGTGGTATTATGATCGATGGATGGCGTTTCGATCATCTTCGAGCTCCGGTTCTTTTAAAGATTTAGTCTTTTATTCCCCACAGATGGCGCCAACTGTGAAAACTCAAATTCGGTCTATAGAAGAATGAGAGTTTGTGAGTTTAAAGAGAGATCTTTATTAAGTTTCAGCCAGAGCTCGAGAGATACACGGTCGTTTAGGTCGTCGGAATAAGAACGCCGACCTAAACTGTTTATGGAAATAAAATCAAGAACTAGGAACAATAAGATTACTTAGTTTGCCCTAGGTCTCGAGAGACAATTTTTGGATGATTATCCAGAAACAGCTGAACCTTGAGAAAGGCTGCCTACGTACCCTTTTGAAGGGATCAAGCCAATCGTAGTTCATAATAAAGGAGTTAGATAGATGAAATCTAGAGAGAATAAGGTCTTCTCCAAGTGTGGAGATTCTTGGATGATTATCCGATGTTCTGAGAAGTGAATGACTTCTTTATTTATAGCCCGACAAGGTCGGTCTTCTGAAGATACCTTCTCCTGTTGAAATAGGAAAACTTCCTTCTTGATAAGGCCGACCTTGCGTTTTCTCCGGAACTTGATCAGATAAATAGAAGATTTCCATTTATCTTGCCGACCTAAATATTCTTTAGGGTTTTGGAATGGGCCTATCTCAATTGATGTAGGGGTTTGAGGGGGTACGAAATCCATCTCTAACAGCTTGTAATTTAACTTAGATATTTTTCTTACACTACGCATATATATTGATGAGCCTTTATAATTAAATTAATAATATATATTATATTATTTTAAAAGAGTTTAACCCAAAAAGAAAACATATTAGTTATCCTTACATGTTGAGTTAGTAAGAAATTTATTTTTTGTTGATGTGGATGGTCATTGATGTTTTTCTGACATTTTATTTTACATAAATATTTGTATGTTATATTTTAAATATAGAAATATAATATATTAATGTTTAAAATAGAGTTATGCTAGTTTATTTTTCTGTAAATGTATTGTATATATTTTGTAATAAGTAATATATTCATAAAGTCCTATAAGTTTATCTTTGTAGAAACAATAGACAATTTTATATCTACGTATGTGAAATACAACTGTGTTAATTTTAAAACTTTATTTATTTATTTGTTATGTATATAGACTTTATGTTTCTAAAAGATGAACGTTCTAAATTTTTCTAAATGAATGTTTAAAAATGTTTTTTTAGAAATGACCATTTTGTAACTTTCTATCTATTAACTA